TCGATCATCATGGCTTCAATGCGCCACTTGCTAGCGCCATGAACTAGTCCTCCCTAGACTCAAGTAGACCGCAGTGACTTGAGCTATCTGCAGAAAGACTGCATAGGGGGCTGTAAATCTATTCCGCATACCTGTCACACCTCCGATTGAATTGATTATCTTTACTCCTCTTCTGCTAGATTACTGGATGGTCTAGAATCCGACAGACGGCGGTTATCTAATTACAGTCATGTGTCTAAAACCAACTTCAGAAATCAAAAGTGAGTTGACGATTTTTCAATGATGCAACTAATTGTCTCACTAACAGTACTTTTATAGCAAGCATGCCATTCTTCACAACTGAGTGAACTATACCCAAGGAATTTTAGAAGTAAAATGCTAAATGTGGTTGCGCCGTTCAGATTTGGTGAAGTTTCAAAGAAAATTGAATAAAAAGACATCCAACCATACACATGACAGCTTTGTCTTTAATAAAGAAATAGTGCTCTCAGGTTTTATATTTAGGTCTATATAGGTCGCTGGTGAGCTATCCAAAATTGCTTAGATAACGGAGGCAGTCAAAAACCAGTTTTGCTCTAAAACTGTACAAGATTTATGCACGCCTGAGCACAACCAACCTGTCAGAACGACCTGTCAAAATTCATTGATTTATTGTGAATACAAAGCAAATAATATAAATTCAAAACTCTATTTTGTGCTACATTAAAATCCCACACCATCGCATTGGAACCAGCAGGAATAACATGTAGAAGATATATTCTAGCAAGAATGTCATTTACCTTTCGGACTCAATCCAAAATTCAACACTTAACAGCCTGTAACTTATATTTGCGGACGTCAGCTCACTGACCACTTACTTCTGCTTGGACAAACCAATTAGTCAGGAATGTTTCAATTGATGGAGAGTTATTTCTCTAATAGATCGACTTACAACTGCACTGCAGATAGTTGCATTCACAACCCAAAACGTTTAATCTCAGCAGAGTATGCTGATTTGATTTGGAACAAGTATCGTCAATGAAGGCTTAGCACTCATCATCATACTGAGGATAATTTATATTCGCACCTATTCGGGTCCGAGTAAACGCACCACATCTCCAATTGAGCTGGAAACGAACAAATGGCACCCATCTTATGAGTGGACAATGAGGGGCTTTTACATGCAATAATCCTCAAGGCACAAGATCTCACTTATTAACACCACTCAATTCAAATACGAAGGATGAGCACGAATAAATGGCTCCTTTTAAATATTACAGATACTGGTCAGTAAAATTTAACTCATGGATAGTTTATTTAGAATCTAACGTTGCAGTTTATGCAAACGTTAGGAAAACGGTACACTCTTGGTAACACCAAGCTCTGAACAATCCTAGAATTTTAGAACATGGCGATCTGAGTTTCACCAAATGAGGAAATTCGAGCCATGGTAGAAATACAGTATCAATCGATTTTAACAGCATATATCCACAAGTCACACAAAACTTATCTTTGCCTAACCAGTGATCGTAAGGGTTCAAAAGTGCCAAGTGTAGGCNCAAATGTAGTCTCCTTCATCTAGCTCTCCGGTGGTTCTACCCCGATTGACGGTTTGTCAATCATGTTTTTTGGTGTCGCTTGTGACTGGCCTGATGCGCGTGGTGCTCCTCCCCCTCCCACCCCCACCACCAACACCAACACCAACACCAACACTAACACCACCACCACGTTGTCACTGAATGTGGCATGTGTATGAGGTTTCATTGGGTATTGTACGAACCATGAGTATTGTCTTGACATACACAGGCACACTCGCAAACAAAGAAGAAGTGCATTCATCGAACAGAACAATGAAAACCATAAGTGAAAAACACAATTATTTTTGGGTGACGTAATACTTGAAAAATACTGTAATTAGTGGTATCACTGCAACATCTTTCCTCGAATCTATGTGACGTCTAGAACGTGAAAAGAATCAATTAAGTGCAAATAATAATATAAGGTGTTTAGTAGTCGAATAAGACGAGGGTAGAGAACGAGATACATGAATTTCGCTCCCTCGCTTTCAGATCTTTTTAAACAGATTACGAAAAATCATAGTTTATAATGATGATCAGAAATGTTTTGTGTACTCTGAAATGTACTCTGTACCGATTTTCAATCTATTGTGTACAAATCACGCGCTGCTGAGCATGAAACTTGAATACTCCTCGAAGACCCAAATCATTTCGAATTTTAATTATAGTTCTATATAATTTAATTAACTCACAAAATGCTTCTTTTGTAAAGAACCTCTTCTCTGACAGAGCTGGATTGTGCATTTGGAGTGGTCGCATTGGACTAATAGGCAAGCGGTGTCACGTGGTTGTGAGATGCNGTGAGATGCAAGTACGACTTAGGTTGTATCACGTAACCCGTAAAACAGCCTTATGCTTGTGATCACTGACGTTCAGCAAATAAAGTTCGCTTCATTTGACGATTCACAACGTACTCAATTGGCAGGATGTATCAGTGTGCTGAGATTTTCTACAATGGTAGGATTCTAATTTATCTTTCAAACATTATGTTGATGGAGAAAGTTAAGGAAGTTACTGTGAGATGTACTTCGGAAAAGTTATGTGGATTTTTGTTGCGCAATGCACACACATTTTCCGTTCTTTTTCACGTGACTCTCGGAACGCATCACACTTTCCTGACATTCCTTAGTCGCATTCAAGATGCATTCTATCCGGAAAACTGATCCCAAAACGTATGCTGAGTAGATTGCACGTTATTGCTACAAGAGTTGAAAGAAATCTTCGATGAAGTGCAGGAAAGGTAAGTTCGTTCGAAGCTGTTAGAGCATCAAAAGAAGGCTGTATGTATTCACCATGTGCTACAAGAAGAACGTTCATTGCTTAAGCATAGTTCATAGTCAATATAGCAATTCTACTAATCTATGGTGTATCTATGTTTGCCAATTTCGTATTGTTTTTTCTTGTGTTTCTGGCTATATCAATCCGAATATGATTAGTCCCGTTGCTCTTTTTACACTGTCACATGCTGTGGCGACATTATCGACATTGTACTAACCAATATGCAAAGATCCACTTTTTTCTTTGTCTCATAATACCCGAATCCTACCGTTCAATACGCAATGCTATACTACATTATAGTACATTATAATATACTATACTATACTTCCTATACTTCTGTATCTACAACGTGAAAAGAAAGTTTAGAAATGTGAAAATCATTTCAATGTACATGAGTTTCTTAAACTGTGTCCAACCGACAATGTTTTTGTATCATGGAAATTGTGACTTCAGGCCGGTTGGTTTTCATTTTATTATCTAATCAGAATATAGATCATTACAGTGTTCCACTATGACATTCACCCATTCCCAAAGAACAAAATGAGTATTTAATGACATTGTCGACTGAAAGCTGCAAAATATTGTAGCATTCTGAAATACAACCATTTTTTGTTATTTTTGGGTTTTTTATTTGTTCTGAAATCCTGGGCCTCACACTAACAGATCAAGGGTGCAATCACGTAACCAATCAAATGAAGTTCAGTTCCAGCGAAAGAAATTAAACGAATGCGTTTGACCTCGGTATTCTTTTTTTGGTCTGATAGCCTTTATACTGCTTTATGCAGTGCCTCGTTTATGCATTATACTCTGAGGGAAGTACAATTTGCAGAGAAATTGTTATTTAATAAATGCTGTACAATAAAACACAAATGTTTGAAAATTGACGCTGAGCTTTTTGGAGCTGGAACAACACGTGACTGCAGTTCGGCTAACTTACGTGCTAAACGTTTCCGTCTTTATACACAATTCAATTTCATTCTTTTTCACTAAATTAAACTGGATAGGTTCCACTTCTTCTCTTTTGTCCTCATTTTCTTCTCGGTGTATCTCAGGTACAAACTAAGAGGTATTTCCACATAAAAGCATTGACATTTGAAAAGAAATTGGTCTCACAAAGAAGGAGAATCACCTGGCTTTTAGAAATTTCAATTTACTAAGTTATAAATAAATCAGTTCCCATTTTGATTTGTCGTTCGTATTTGCTCACTCATTGATTGCCCAACCCCATCGGATGATAAGCAAATCGATGCTCTAAAGTTATCACTTTCCAAGCAGTGTATCCTAATACTTGACGAATCGCTCTATTTCACTGAAATCAGGAGAAATCGGTGCGGAATCGATTCCATTCAAGTGCTGTTGATTTGTGTGACCATACTTCGTGCCAACGTTGCACCCATTTATATGGTTTTAGCATATATTCCTCTCCGAAGGGTATATAATAGGGTGCTTTCACCCCCAGAGTAAATCGCAAGCGACCAAACCGCTTAAGTTTTATCGACAACAATCGGAATTCAAGGTATGATTTATTCACATTGAATCACGTGGAACTGAAATGTCCTACATTGCAGAGAACTGTGAAGACACAATGAGTATGGGCAGCTCGACCGAAAAAATTCTGTAATGAGTCCACGATGTTCATCGACTAATACTCATTTGGATTCCGAAAACGGATGCCAAGCGTTATTTGTGAATCACTTTATCTAATGAAAGTACAGTACTGTGTCAAAATCGGAACCAAACGATGCATTTGCAGCTTTTTCGTCTATTCTCTTTCATCTTTCGGTCACTGGAGACTTCTGTCAATATGACAGTCTAATTTATTTACCCCAAGTACTACTTTGCATTCGACCTCATTTCTAGACCCCTTTTTCTCAGAAAGCCAAAAGAACTCGGATGCCTGATTTCTCTACCAGCTTGAACTTCTGACGTTCTCATAAGGTTGGGCCTAAACCCTTTTCATTCCCTTTTCCATTGGTACCAAATAAAAATATGGATTCGGTTGTTTTACGAGGTATTTGTATTTAAATTTCTGAATGAATCTGTTAGTTGCTTGCGTATGATGCTGGTTACATGAGTGGAAAGTTGCAATAAAATTGACCGGCCTGCGTATCGAAAGAATGTAATTTGTGCAAATTGACGATTGTCCCACCAGTAGTCTTCAGCACCTCAAACCGATCGAAGTGTGGCGTGTGTATCAGCCTGGCTGATACTTGTCTCGCTAGTAGACGAAATGCTGCTCACGTCCGTCAAAGTGGGATGATTCACTTTTGTTATATCTTTACCGCATGCCGGACAGAGTTTGGACTGCAGCGGAAAAATCAATAAAGGAATGGAAAAAGGCATCAATTTCCAGTAGACTTTTAATATAATTCAAAGGGAGATAGTATTGCGGAAATCCGATTATTTTTGGCATCTTGAAGATGCATGTTCAAAAGCGGTGATTTAAAATGGAGAAATCACTCAGATATGCAACAGTCCTTTCACTCGTAATATTTTTCTTGAATCCACAAAACTCATGCAGAAATACGGCATATAGTGATACCATTTACTGACGGAAAAATAAAAACGCATTCACTGTAATCGTATCTCTTTGTGCAAGCCCGTTTTATTGTTTTCTAATGAACAGTAATCCTTTTGATAGTTATTAATCTTTGTTGAATGATTATTCAACTAATAACTATGTTGAAACACTGATGTGTCACGTTATTTTTGAGCTCGATTGTTTCAATTGTTGATTTTCAAAATGAACGTTGCCATAAGCATAGCTACAAAAATGTGGACTGAAAAGTTGCGAAACGTCGACTAGCTGCTTTGACTCTGTTAGGTCTAATCAGCTTTCTGAACCCATCAATTGAACTAAGGTATAAAATAAAGACTTCACAGGTAGGAAACAGGGGTGAAATGCATAATATCCGATTGAAGCATCTGCACAGTGCTTTTTATGCTTTGAGTTTACTTGTATCTTGTTTTCTATGTGATTGAAGCTTTTTCCTTAACCGAATGCAATCACTAAGTACTCTTGTAAATTTTGCTTTGTTTACTTCACACAGACTTGTTATTTCAGATTATTGGAGACGAAAATTGGATTGACAGTATGGTACCTAGCAGTATTATCTGAGGAACACATTAGATAATTTTGCTAACATGGTTCACCTAACAGAGAGGAAGTGCGGAGGAAGTGCACTCTGAATAGGGTATATCGTCCTAATTAATATTGGATGAAGCTCTGGGTAGCTTTTCACGTGATATGAGTCGTACCCCCCACACTTGAAAATTCTTAACATGTACACTAGCCGGTGAGAATATGCAAGATTGAAGGGGCAAATTAAGCCCCACCAAATAGGCTCATTTCCTACCTACCTCATATTTGCACCTTTTACTCTGCGTGCAAGAAGAGCGTAAGACGGATCATAGAGTATCTATTCGCGATGTGTTGTGGATTTCAGTGAGCATGTGGTCAACTTTTATCGTGTTCCATGGTATTTATTTCTACTTTTTTATGTCAAGGCTGCATTTGCTCTTCTAAGAAGCGGTTATCCGAGGGAACCAAGACCTTAGCGGATTTTAGTAACTGGGCTACTGAGGGCCTAGGATTGAAACTGATTATGCAATGAAGCATACTAACACTCACGCCTGAGCATGACCACCGATCAGTCTTAACTAATGGGTTTCTCATCCGAGGTCAATTTCCGCCAGCTTCGTCCGTTTTCGTCTAAATTCCACTCGATCAACAGTCGAGGGTAACCGTTGGTGGTTGAGGGGGAGAGACAAATAGTTAGACCCTACGCTACCCTCAACCTCCATTGGTAGGTCATTCCAAAAGTACATTTGTTTTTTATGGGGAAATGAGTTCATTCTGACTATACCTTTTGCAATACAAGTCGTCCTAATATCATATCACTTCAAGATGTCTGACCATTATAGAAGGGATTCTGATTGGCCCCGTCTAATCGCTGACATGCAACGACCGAAGCACCAACCACATTGGGGGCTTTCCAGTAGAATGTGATTAATGGATTCAATTGCAGTTACAACAGTTTCACTTGAAGTTGATATAGTATAGTTCTATACGGAAGCCTGTTCTATACAGATTTTGTGCTTAAACTGTCTGGCTCGTTTTCAACTCTCTCCCAATCTGGTGTCCAAGTTTGGATATGTAGATAATTTAAAGTTTCGATTTGTTGTACCATGGTTTATTCTGAGGATGATTCCTTTATGAGATAAATGGAGTCACACAAAACCTTACGGTAGAGGACAGTTGGAGTAAGATGATTGACTACCTTCAACTGCACTACATTGTTGCAATAAATTACTGATAACAGTGATGCATCACAAATACTCTTTCTCTTCCCGCTTGGCGGTAAATGCAGTAAGGTTGCGCAAACCCAATCAGGACCAATTTGAATACATGGGGATGAAAGCAAATACCCCCCCCCCCCCCCCCNCCCCCGTCGAAACCTGAATATCGTGTATCCTGTCAAATATGTAAGACTTTTCGGTCCACTGGACTTGCTAACAAGTAGAGCAAATGTTTCCGATAAACTCACGGAAAAGGGTATCAACTGAATGAAATACCGTTCGCCTGCAAAACCAACCTTTGTTGTATTGCAAAGAACTTATAAAAGAACAAGCATCCCATTTCAACCTTTGAAATCATTCACAACACATATGCTTTTGTTCACTCTAGCTATCTGTTGGATTCAAGTGATTTTGCGCGATAGGTTGACTTAACGGGTCAACAGAATAGATTAAACTGTGCGCATGTGATGCTAAATCGGTTCGGATTTGCATGATTGATTTTGCATCAGGTTACACGATGCGAGCGACTGAAACTTCTCTCACAGATCAATAACGGCTGGTGTGAACTGACGTCTGGGTGAAATCTTCCACTATGATCACTCACCGTTTCTTCTCCTTTAATAACTCATTGTTGCTCTCTCTCTCGGTGTAACCCAACCTCCCAAACTTTCTGTCAAAATCCATCCTATGATCATACATGACCATGCGCACCATTCGGGTTTAGCACACAACTGAGTGAATAGTTTAATTGCTGTTGGTCATGTGTAAAATTTCAAAGGTTTCACCAAATTATGCTTAAATATTTAGCTTTCTGTATCACTTGTCCATAGATGGTTATGGAATTCGGTCTGGATATATTCGGTCTGGGTGAACACAAAACAAATGCTGTCCTACTTAGTCAACGCGTAAGATTTTGCTCTGACATCAAGTTGTGGAATAAACTCAGAAACGGTGTATCCCTCTTCATTTGAAAGAACTTTTCGATAAAATTCAAATTGATTTGATCATGTGTATCACAAGTATTACTTAAAACCTAAGAGCCCTAAATATGGTGTACATCTGTTTAATTAGCACTGTGTGATCATACTAAGAGGCAAGTTATCAATACTCAACTCGAATAACTAATTCGAGCAAACCAATCGATTATTAGTGCGGGAGATCAATGTTTTGCGAAAAATGGGGTAACGGAAACAAGGTTTGAACTGATAAAAACTTACTGTTTGGTTGAATCTAATTTTCAGGTGTACAATGCAATAATTTTCGTCAACTAAGCGGCTAAAAGACCTCTTATGTGAAATACGTTAGCTTTGCCAAACAACACAAATAATGCAACTGCTTTATTATTCTCAAATCACATATTGACAATCCAAGTTAAGTCAGAGTTTTATTACACCCATGAGAGGAGGGATCAACGACTTCAGAAACCATTCGGCATCAGGAATTCCGAGAAATGCTAATAATTATAATTGAGTGCAAACGCTTTAAGTCCAACATGGAAATGGAGTATTTTTACCAGTCGGTTAGGATCAAAGAAGAAGTGAATGAGGTGGGGTCCAGGCTACTATCTATATGCCTTGGCAGGCGCATCATCAATATCACTATCTCATAGGAAAATACAGTACAGTTAACTTCATCAACAATAAACAAAAAATATGGGATTGTCTGCGGTGATCAGAGATCGTGTGTACTTAAGGAAGAAAAATAGAGTTGAACTCTATGGTCAAAACACATATCACTAAATCTAGCTCTCTTAAAAACAATTGACAACGAGAACGGCACTGCTATAAGCTATTTGTCATACCCTCAAGCGTTTCTAACCAACCAGCGGCGGATTCTTTCTGATCCCAAACTGGAATACAAGGGACCATTTATTCCACCTAATCGGTCTGTGCACCTCTATACATACCTCATGACCAGGTCACCTTTTTGGTCTTCTAGTGATTTTCTCCAGCCCCGATTGACAAGTACAAACGAGCTATCCTAATCATTGATGTTTACTCATCCCAAACTTGTGTGATAGCGAACTTTCGACCGAATCCGTACCAAAGACTAGGTGGTTTCTACCAATGTTGTTGATCTGCTCGCTCCATCATGTCAACATCAAACCGTCAAAATATCGATAACCCAAGACCTCGATTAAGTAGATGTCTTTCACACGCAGCTTCCTCCAAGGAAAACCATAAGGTAAGAGTGATAACAACTTCTGAAATTCATATTAGGCATTCCGGAGAAGAACGCATGGAATACAGAAAGCCAACGTGCGAGGAAATTGTTGAATAAGGTGCAGAAAAACAGGTTGTGTTTTCAAATGAAATACGTTAGATAAGAGCCTATGGATCTTGCTAAAAACAAGTGAATAAATAAGTGAAATTTAAGTTAAAACTATATCAGGAAATTTTAGAAATGCATTTCCACAAAGGATTGCATACATATACTGGGAACGATTATGCATTTATGCTTCCAGTGGAGTAACAGAATGGAAGAATTCAAATTCACCCCTTAATTAGTGTTCACTGCTGATTAAGGAACTTGTGGTCCGTGTAATCATCACCAACATCATACAGCGAAATACAGTGAGGAGAACTTCACTGATCGCTGCCAAACTCGTAATGCAAGGTTAGTGGTAAAAGGTAAGTTGGACAGGACTTGGATGTATTTTTAGAGAGGGAGAAGAAGGTGAACCTCTATGATCAATCAACACAGAGTACGAAATCGAACTCTGCGTACATACTGTTACCTGATATGTAATCAAATTACTCCATAAATGTTACCAAATTTGGCGTAGAAAATGCATGATGTATGGATTCTGTCATCATTCAATGTATATAAGCAAGCACAATAACTATGTTTATAGACTGAATTAGTCTCACTAATGATTGCCGGTTGGAATATTTACTTTTAAACCAACTTAATTCAATCACCTCGTTTTTTGTCACTTTCAAGCATCTTGGGCTAAAACCATTTTCCACATCAGACTGTAAGGCGGAGTTGAACATGGCCTAGATAACGGCATTATTTGAACAAATTTCCGCTGGGACAGCAAATCAAACTAACGTGATCGTAAATTAATGAGTTTGATGTCCACTAATATCCGAAACTTTATTAACTTGTGTATGCTTTCCTTTGAGTTTATTCTATACACATAAAGGGTGTTTCACCAAGCGATGCGGACTAGCCAGTATCTCCCTATGGTATTCCTGCGCTAAGTTCGGATACGATGGCTTTCATATAGATCACGAGGTATTTAATCAGAAGTTGTATGAGAAGAACAGATGGGATGAATAAGGAAATTAGTTTTTAGAAAACAGATGCCCCAATGAACTTATCGAACAATATTGGAAGAAGACCGCGAAAGGAGAGAAATTTACTTCAGTCTGGAGGATAACTTTATTTAGTGGGCTATCGAGAATCCCAGTGAAATCCTCGATTCGAGGGTCAAGTTCACTTTCAGTACGCGCAAGTGAGGTGACTATTCCTCACTTCCTCATGAACCGATGCCAGAAAAAAAGGTAGGTTTTTTCATCTGACCTCTTATACGCTTCGCTACGTATAGCAGTGGATTTTTCGGACTTCTTACGTTGGCCGTACGACCAGACAGATATATGAAAGTATCAGTGTCCACAGCACCCGAGGACTACTACAACGAGAAAGTGGTGTGATAGCATGCGTAATTGAGAAATTTCACCAGTTAGATTTCAAGTCAACCTTCTCCATTCAGAAAATCCCAGTATTATAAAAGAGCACCTTGTCTTCAGACACCGGCGAAAGCCTACGCGATTCATAACCAACGACCGAAATCTGCTACATGCTCTCATCAAAATCAGTCGCATCATGCACAGTCACGATGCTCACATAATCTAGCAAGGAGACATACTGTGGTCACGGTCCTTGTGTTTTTCACACAGTTCGCCTGTCACTGTTTACTTTTAAAATGTGTATCAACTTTGACAGGGATCGTGTGCAATCTAGGCATAAGTCAACCAGGGTTTGCTGCATCTAGATTGAAAGAGCACGTTTGATAGTACAGCATAGCTCAACCCAAAATTCCTTTTTACGGCAAGCGGAAAACGATAAAAATATAAAACTTCTTTGGAAAGATTGTCTACATTCCATTTTGCGTCATGTTTGATATCATTTTGGGGAACTAAAGTAAAAGAAAGGCACGAAATTTTCATATTAAGGGTAGAATGATGCCCAGAGCATCATTCACAGGGGTTCAAATCCACATCTTAGGAGCAATAAAATAAAAATACCAATATCAATATTTATCTGTTTTAAATACTTCAAGTACAATCAGGAATGCATACTAAAGTTCTGAACAGCCTGTGTCACCATGTTTCAGCACATCGGACTGCCAATAAACGACTTCGTGAATCTTTGGCTAATTCCTTTATTTTGTTTAGTTTTCTCGTACTTTAGCTGCAGACTCGGCGGGTTAAACGAAACCGATTGTTTGCTGACTTGCGCGAGCTCCACAATAATCACGGCCTCTACTACGTGTCCTGATGATTTCAAATGGTGCACATTCCACATAGTCAAACCAAAGGAAAATAGATAAGACCCCAAGATTGAGTTCAACTAGCGTTCAACCATTTATAAAAATGCATTTCAGTTACTAATATCATACAGTTCGGTGTGAGCCAAATCGGATACAATGATAGTGATAGGAGACGAAACCTAAAGATATATGAACACATTTGTCCTGTCATTATCAGTGTATCATGAACATATATTCGGGAACATGCAAACAGTGACCTTGCACATAAATCATTTCAGCGGGAGCACAGAATCTGTTTGGCTAAAACAATGGGTTGGTATCGGCAACTCACAATGAGAAATTGATTTAAGGGCAACCAGAACTCTTCATCTGAGCCACAAGTATGGAGACTCTGTAGATGCTTTGAGGGCATGATCGAACTATAAATAAGCAAACGTGACTCTGGTATTTGATGCAAAAAATGTGTCGACTAGTGTTAAGCAGAAACAATATAGAAGGATCCTGAATCCCCTCTCGGATCGGTTTATTTGTCTAACACACACTGCGCTCACTGCGTAGATCACATTGGTCTTCAATCGTGATTTCATTTCCAAATAGCCTCATGATCTGTGGGTTTGATCTCCTTTCGAACGAAGCCCAGAAATAAGAATATTGCCGCCCTACTTAATGGTTATAGATTTGTGTACATATAGAAGGAAAGGTACTCATGGCTAAGGTTTTCTAACAAGGGTAAAACTGAACATACCTTCTCAATAGATAGATAAAAAGTTCCACATAAAAAAAAATCATTGGTTATTTTCACAAAAATTCAAGCAACGTTATCTGCAAAATGCTCTCATTTGGTGAACGGTATTGGAAAACGCTAACTCATACATTCTCCTCTGTGTCATTCCTGTTGTGGACTATTTATCGGGCACTTAGATTCCTAAACTTCTTAAAAGTTTCGAACTATGCCCGTAGCAAATTTCTTTGCAGTCAATCTACCACCGTGAATGGTTAAGTAGAAAACCGCGTTCGCGGTGACATATATGAGGCAATTATAGTACTGATGTGGTATCGATATATGTCACCTCCTAATGCGATATATCATAGGTAAATCTCTTCGCGAACACAATTTTCTACATGGTATGAGAGAATATTCCCTGATGAGTATTGTAAAATGTTACGGAAAAAGAATGGACAATTACAAACCAAATATCATTCACTTATAAACCCTCTCTATTTCTGGTTTTGTCGAACAGGATTTAATACAAACCTTCATCTTTGAAATCCTCTAATCGTTTCTGATTTGAAAACTATTAACCGCACCGATAATCGAGAGCAAATCCATTCATTCATTCAACAACCGGGTTGATTGTCTTGCCCACTCCTCATCCGTATCTTCAAGCTTGATCTCGTGATTTTATGTACACAGTGCCGACCATTTCTCTGCTTTCTATGTCGAACCGAGTGCATATAATACGACCCGTATACGAAACATCAATGCCGGGAGTCTGTTTCCTAGCTGTTGTTTACATTTTTTTGCATAACAACCCCCTTCTAGTCTGTTTTGTGCTGTGCAATTTCAAATAAATTACTTTCTAAGGTCATTAATCGGAGGCAGAGAGTAGAGGATGTGCATGTGTATGTTCGTGTATGTATGTGTGTTCGTGTGTGAGAAAGCTTATTGTGTTAGTGACCTTTCCCCAATTTGGTCAAATCACACGTCATGTTCTGTCTTGTTTTTCACACCCGGCCAAGGCAATTGGAGCGCTTGAACCAGTGTTTTTCGGCACAGGTTGGGGCCTAGAAGGTAAATGTTGATCGCCTCGGCCCATTAATACCCTTAGATTGTGGCAATGGCTATCATTATGAAACCATTTTTCCACTTCATGATCTATAAGACCATGACTAAAAATATATGGAAACAACTGTTCGCTCACCGACTCGTTTTCTCAATGCTATCATGGAAATATTCAAACTTTTAAAATTCTTTCCTCTAAACTCCCTTTTTATATGCATTAGCTTTTTGATTGTAAAATTCAGACCCTTTCTGTTCTTCATTTTGTTTTGTCGTAACCACACGCCGAACATTTAATGTGGAATATTCAGCTAGGTTTCATTCCAGTCGCGGCACCATCGTTAAAAAGGAAATGATTTAACGTTTCAGTTTTGAACACCTTCAAATCTGAAGGGGCACACACACAAAAAACTTCCCCACTTGGCATTATATTCAACACCTTCAAGATAATATAATTTACTATTGAACATTTCGTTGTCAAGTTTTGGATTATCCACGTAACTGCCCACTCCGACTTGTCTTTAACCCCCCGTCTCCTAAACTTCTGAAGATACTAGGTGTGTTTTAGACTAGCAAGCTTGGATTAGCCCATTCGTTTGTTAAGAGACACCAGGCACTCTTGATGCCATTGGTAGTAGGTAGCAGGGGTTCTCTCCAGAAGTTAGCTGATAATTTTTACGCATAAGCTCGAAGATAAACTCTTTCAAGCAATGCAGTGAAACACTTGTACCGTTCTTTGTTAAACCCATTGACTAACTAATCGCTGAGACATTTAGCTTCGGGCTGAGTATGACTTCTAACACGCTTTGGGCAACGCCACATAGGATAGACAATATGCAACAAGCAATCCAGTAATTAAAATGCACTTACAGAAATCAACATATATATCTGTCCAGAGTTAAACGTCTTGCTTCTATCTCTTATCTGACACAGCTATGATATCACTTACTTGCTATCAACCGTTCACAGTAAACATTGGGCAATGTTCCAACACCTATGGCAAATGTTCAACGCATGCAAGTGAATCGTAGTTTATGCATGGTCAAATAGTTCACTTACCGTCTTGTTCAAGTGTAACAGAATGCAATTTTTGTGAAACAGATGAGAACAGGGGAGTATGATCACAGCCTCGCCAGATTTGTACATTTTGTCACAGATAGTGCATGGGATTTGTGACGCCATATGGGCCGGGGTTAGACGAAACGTGCGAAGTAGTACGATGCCTACACTAGCCGGAGTTCGAAGTTTTACTGGAATGGAAGGAACGAATGGAAAGGAATTCAGCGGCTGGGCAGTTCTGATTAACTTGAACAGAAACTTGAACCGTCCCCTGGGTTCAAGATTCTATTGGACAACGTCTTGACACTAATGTTTGAACACACCTCGGGACTACTACTACTACTAATTTTCAACAAAAAACAGTTGGGCAGGAAGTTCGCATCAAAATCACGTTGTACTTCATGGTCAATCAACAAATTAGGAACAGTCAAGTTGTGATAGGAGTTGTAAACAATATGATGAGGCACGCATGTGCATCAGGTGAAGAAAGACACAAATTGACGTGAACCAAATCCACCAAGGCCTTGGGTGACCCACAACCTCGAACAATGCCGGTTATTCGGGTAGAACAAGTGCACTTAGTCGTGGTTACCGGTTGAATCCCGAGCGCCGATAGTGTAAATTTTTGATGCAATTATTTGCTTCAGAACTTCACTGGTTTTAGGCCGGTCCGTTTGGTCCTATAATCGAATAATACAAGCAAAGATCTCGTTTGACTGAGCCCACAAATTGGATCAACCTTACCCAGCGTTTCCCATTGAGGCTTTATGTGCACAGTCCTCCGAGGGTTTTTGTCGTGGCACGGCCTAACTGAAACTGTTTCCAGTTGTTTAGGATAACCTGCTGTGCAAACTAAACATTTTCTTGGGCAAAATGAATTATTTCTATACCTTATAATTTGTAATATTCATTGCAGTTTCGTACTTTTCTTGATCACCTTAGTCTTTCTTAGAGAAAGAGATATCTGTATTCTACGTCACTATGCTATTTTTCATTTCTTAATATGATCCTTGGGGAGTAAAACGCTTCTCAATGTCTTTACCACTCCTTTATGGTAAATTGTGAGGAACAATGTTTTGAGTCATGGATAATCTGTACCTGGTTAATCAAAGGAGGTAAAACTATGACCATCAGTTCCAACGCATCGGTACCCAAAACCTTGCAAGGCGGATTGCGAAAAAAATGTATGATACCGGTGGGAAGTCAATTGGATGAACCCAGTGGTGTCCACTAGAAGCGTAAATCCACCGAAATTTAAACTCAAACTATACAAAATCACCCTATTGTGCCAATGTGAAGTTAGATCGGCCGAAGAGATAATCAATGTGTCCCAATTCGTAGCACACCCCTCAGAACCATATTCAATTCATCTTGTCTGATGACCTTTCACCTATCCGCGGATCTCAACACTCTTTCTTTCCCTATGCTCTTGATAATGGTCATGTTTTACGTACATTTCACCATGTCATGTCCGACCTCACCCTTAAACCTGCCATTTCTCTTACAAACACATATTTGTTTGGGTGGAGTTCCGGATTGTTAAACGGTGAGCAAGCCTCCCATTCTTGGTATGTGTGGGTATGTGTAGTTGCCGAGCTGACCGGCTTGCCAACCATATTATGACGACCTCACTAAGCCGACTGGAAGAAAACAACTTTACCCCCAAGGAAAATTTGTGCGAATCACCAGGTGCTAAATGTTTCTCCAACCTTAAATTCGTGTGCAACCATCGCATTTCTTGGTGAATTCACTTCGCAGGTTTTCCTTCCCCGACCTTTTGCTTATTGCTGCTTGGATGACTGTATCCCGGAGAGCGAATTCGTCTATAAATTGAGTACACGCGGATAGCCATCTCCTGATAGTTTTGTCCAAACGTCTACAAGTCATTCAACTACTGAACGTCAATTCAGTATGCCAAGATTTAAAGTAACAACAAAGCATATTATTGTACACACAAAGACACATTTACGAGTCCATCGTACACTACCTCAATCCAGAGTAATTATCCACCCCTTTATAACCACATGCTCAAATTGAAGCTCACCTGAAATGAACGAATATTGTCTATTCCGGATTCGACGATCTTCCACAACCGGGAGTTCGACTGTAGGTGGTCCACTGATACGAGTTATCTGCTAAAGTTGCGATTGAAAGATTCCAGTTTTAGGCATACACATGAACCGGGCTTACTGGAACGGATCTTGGCACATAATCCATCTCTTGAAACATTTGGGGTGCGACTTGATATATCGGTGCAGGTTGTTCCATTAAGGTGATGTCAGAAATATCCTCCATTGAGGAAGCTGCCAAAGTGTCAGCTTCAGATGGCTCGGGTATAGGCATTTCGCGATCACGAAACGTACTCACAGTGCTCTGACTTAAATCCTTCAAATCTCGCGGAACTCGGCTGACATTTGGTATCTGTCTCACTGTGGCCGAAAGGTAATAGGTATTGGTGTTTGTAAACACCTGGAAGTTCGACAATCAAGCCGATATGGAAAATTCATTTACCTTGAGTACTGGTTGTGCCGGATGTTCGAATTCGAAAACCAATGCCTTCACATCCAATGCATTGGCTTTGAGGTGCTCACCGGCATTCAGGTCAGAGGTTTGATGTGCATTCTGTACCGCTGTTGAGGATCAAATCAGATAAATAAAACAAAGAATGTTCAATTGTGGTTAGGGTATTTCACAATACAGTTAAATAAATTTTAGATTACTACTGGGGCTATTCCTCACCAGTTTAATCAAACTACAATGGTACTTACGTTGGTTTGGCTTCAGCAATTAACCTGTGAGCAATGTCGTCTGAGATAGCTAAGGAGGACCACCACAAGTGGTCATGGATTATAACCTGTTCGTGGCAAATGTGATTGCGCTCTTCAAAGCAGTTTCTAACACTGATCGTCCAAAAGTACCATAAATACGCAGACATCCTAAACCCGCCCCCAATGACCTGAACCAATACGCATGTGTTGCTACCAATGATTGAGTAACATCCGGTCATGAAACTGGAATGTTGATTATTTCTTTTCGCATTTTATCATGCTTGCTGCCCCATACTAAACTGTTTGACATAAATTTTGATGTATTAGCCTGTGAAAGAAATACCGCAAACGGGGTTGATCCCCAACAAGTGAATAAAAACGCATACTTCGTGTAATGCAAAAAGCCAACATGCTAGTGTACGATTTTTTGAGCATTATTAATTCAACAGCCTGCTGTCCGTCTTTAACAAACAAACGTATCTGGTAGCTAAGGGATGCTTCCGTATAATAATTCGGAGTCACTTATAGTTAGGCCCAAGATAAGACCCGTTAGCGCTTCCCACGAACTCACGAGTTGTCTGTATTTTTCAAGGCCATCGTCTAATCAGAAGAAAAACCGGTGAGCGAGCCTCGCAAAACGCACCCATATTGTTTGTCAAGTAATGCTCAAAACATATCCTAACGGACATCAAATATGGGCAGAATACGAGGCACAGAGTCAACCCGATTGTTTCCGGTCCCAAGACTGAAAACCGATGAGAATAGCGCAGAATATAACATGGTCATCGCCATATTTAATCTTGTACCCTGTACACAAAACGTAACAATAAGTGTTAGAATACCATTTTTCACTTCCGTTGAATTGATAAACCAAAATGGTGTAATCCACAGCCTTTAAGGGGACGGTGCCGACTAAGGGTCGGAAGACAAAAAGGCAGCATCGCAATCACGAGGATCAAAACGCTTGGCTATCGCCGATAAGAGTAACTGGCTTGATTGTCATTTACTTCTAACTCCATTTGAAAGTTTGGTCACTAATCCATGATCGTTTTGTTTTAGTATGGGACATTAAGTTGAAATATCACAGAATGTAATAGCAGATATGCAGGCAAGATGTCCATGCACAAGAGTTCTCGCTCGCTGGCCTCTTGTAAATTTATGTGCTATAATAACTGCTCTAAAAAGGTTTCTTTTATTGCTCTGCTCATGTGAGCTGAAAGACCCTAGGGCCTAGAGTTAGGTAAAGTTTCTGTTTGAGCCTTGTGTTTTGAGCCATATACCAAACAAGCTACAGCTCATCCAATGTCTTGTTTGTACAAGACGATTAACAACGATTATCAACAAAGCCGGTCTCCTTAAGATGCTCTTCAAAGCGAAAGAACACTATTTAACTCAGCTTTAACCTATCAAAATTTGGGTATTTCTCCCCAAACAAACGGACCGACTGGCGGTAATATCATACTGACATTTTTAGATTACCACGGAACTCGCCTGGACTTTAAACACATGGGAATCGTGTACACAGCGACATCAATATTAAAAAGAAGAGTCGACCATTCATATTGTTTCACAGTGACCAGTGAAAATGCATATACCGCTGATGATGTTTTGAGGGTTGAATGAAACAGTGCTACTTAGGCTTTCCAGTGATGATTACCATGTTGATTTTGCTTGAAGAATGCACTTCATAAATAAAGCAAGCTCTCAAGATGGTTTCGTTTATACATGAAATTTGTTTACTCGTATTTTATGCCGAACGAGATAGTTCCCGAGGTCATGTAGTTTTCAGAAGGAACCCTCCAATAATGAATTCCTAAAGGAACCAAGGATGAAACATTACGTAATTCTTTTCTCCCGGTGTTAAGGTTTAAATTTATCTCCTGATCTCTGCTAGTGTTTGCTTTGATTATATATCGTTGAACAGCAGGTCCTCGTGACCATGGGGCTTACCCCGTCCACCGTTCATCACACTAAGTGTGACAAAAAAAGGTGTTCGAATTCCCAATGATCGTGAAAGACGCGTCCAACAGACTTGTTTGTGTACGTATGTGTCATTTTCTCAATGCTTTCTAACCCCAAAACGGATTCACCGCGAATAACGAGTCTCTTTTCAGGTCGAGTGATTGCCACGGGATATTAGTATACCTGAGTTGTTTCATTCCATTTGTTGTATTGAACACAAAGCTTTTTGAGAAAGCTAGATTCACTCGACAATGATTCATGCAAAAAGAATCGTGGTTTGATTCTCCATGTAATTCATGGAAGCACTTAGTAAATGCTATTGATCAGTGATGCAGTTGCGCCTACAGTTGATCTTTACTGTGATACTCAGTGGGAACGCAAATATGCTTGATAAAAGAAATTGGTACTTCTTCGTGCTAAAGGTGGGAATCGATTCACGGGAAACGAGTAGTCACTTGTGAATCAAGCGTTTCCCTCTGCATGATTGCTCGTGCAGATAGTGTGAAATAATTCTGTTCAATAAACTGAGGAAACAATTTATCTCAATTGAATTAAACTAGGAGTCTGTTTTGCAGTTGTTACCGCTCACCCACCATGCGATTTTGGCCATTTTTGTTGGTTCATGAGTTTGGTTATGCTCTTTTTGTCAACTCCTCTACGAGTATCTAACTTGCATCTCAGGCATAGTAGTTTGTGCAATTTTTCGAATCAGTGTTATGGCTTTACGTTGATTTCGGTAGGTTATCTGTAACCTATCTCAAAATATTCCATTCAAAAGACATTTACATGTGTGTATGTATTGCCTTTTTAACTGGTCAACACATTTAGGGTATTCTCATTCACTAATATCACCTCATCAAGTGTATGTCGTTTTGTCTTTTTTATTCCAATTTGTTATTCCTAATTCATCCTATGACTGAGTCCCCTGTAGCGTGCAAATATTCAGAAGAAAAACAGTAAAAACTGCAGTCCGCTGAACCCAAAACGGTTTAGAACACACGTAAATCAACGAGTTACCGAGACTTCTCAATCCAAAGGAATGGTTGAGTTTAATTGGTTGTACCGAATGCTACTGATATTCACATCCGAAGTTCAAACTTACATTTTTAACCTACTATCTAGTTCTATTCCCAACACGCGCCTCCACCAGGTTCAAGTACCACCTCTCCCTCTTCGCTCCACCCATAACAGCTCCAGTGTTGCCGTAATTTTCCCACATTTTACCTGGGGCGGAACCAATCTGATTAGTCATTTTTGAACTCCGGGATCCAGGCATATGTCAACAGATGGCACATCCAGTGAAATCCAGTAATCAGTCCATAATCAAGCATTGTTTTATTTTCTTTCATTCAAAACGAGAACACTGTTAAATTTACCACCCATCGTAAATTCCTTATTTAGTTTCTCGGACCGTTTCACTAGAACCTAATCCAAGCGCCTCAATTTAGAAACACCGGTTATCAGTTGTATGACGGAAAACATCATTGAATTCTGTACTCCTTGGATGCGATTGGTATTCTCTTTCCGAAATAAACATTTTAGTCATAAAAATGTTGTGTCTAACCTCGAGCTTTGCTGTTATGTTTACATTTGCGTGTTGACAATTTATTTCGGGACAAATCGACAATAAATGCTCATTGTGGGTGCAAGTTAAAAATAAACTCAATTGACCACATAAAACACTGCTGATGGTGCTTTACGAACGAAAGGCAACGATCGCAGAACCAATTGTAGGCATGTGGCATATTTTATTCAGCGGAAGAAATGCAAATGCTCTTCAAACGAACAGAACTAGGCACTTTTATCCACATTGATTCAAAGCTTCAATGAATGCTATTGTTCAGCTTATAGAATTCAAGTTTACTTGAAACTAAAATATATTGGGCTTTGAAAAATACACTTGAATTAGACTATTTGTAAAACACAAGGGAATGCGCGCATGCCCAGAGCTACTCTTTCGCCTTCGGTTGCTCTTATTTTATTGGAACAAATATGTCATGACATAAAGCATTCGTAAAATTATCTGTATTGTTCAAGAACTTAGTATGATTGATGGATCGGTGGCGCCATACGGTGCTCTGTAAAGGTGTGACGATCGATCGATGTTGATCATCAAAGACGTTCTACTGCTTTCATCATTTATATTGATTTATTGTAATACCGTCATCCAGAAGGACTTTCATTCATCCTAAGGAAGCTGAATTGACTAGACAAAGGTCGATTGGTTCAGTCGTTTGACATATGATTTACAACACGTAAAATTCTATCCGAAATAAACTTTGAGCGGTACGTGACGCGCAAAACAAAAAATACACATCTCAGTAGCAAACGGATGAAAAATAAACATTTGGTTACCGCTGACGAAATTGATTTTCGTGTCTGACATTAGTTCTGTAATTTACCATAAAAGCAACTTATACAAAGTCAATTTTTCGGTTCAAAGAAGCCTAACAGGGGACAGAGAATATCAAATCAGGTGAGCGTTGACTGTTCGGGAAATTGTTTCATCCATTTGCTCATAATTGAGAGTCTATCATTTTCCCTAAGTCCACACAAATCACCCTCTGTGAGTCAAAGTGAATCACTACAGTCATTGCATGAACTCCAACACAAGTAAAGTAAAGTTTTGTGCATTGTTTCTCAATATATTCTTGCTTTTCATTAAATAAATGGTTGTACAAGCAGTTTTAGGAAGAGCAGGAGGCCAATTCAAGAATTGTTGCGTGGCACTAAGTCCAGGGCGAATTTAGGCCGCAGTGGTGAGATCTGCTCACCCCGCATCTTGTACTACAATTGATCATTGATGCCCCCTCCCTCCATGTAGGAGATTGTGCATGTATTCTGATAAACAGACATTCGGAGGCAGGATAATTCCAGTCATCTCTTTCACATACGACCAATTGCATCTGGGGCATTGGCTGGTAGTGTGTGGTTGTTCTCACCGGCGATCATCGTCAAACTGATCCATAAGGATATATGTATTGGAATCTCGCCATCGTCACCTGATTCTAACGCGAGACAGGCACCCAACCAACAACTTCATTCATTTCGTCGGTCCAAAACTTCTGATGGCAGTAAAGTTTTCTTATTCATTATCCAATGCTCAATGATTTTTTATGTTCAATCCCCTGCTCTTAGTGTCAGCCCATGTTAGCGGTAGACATCTCCTCCAAAATCTAGATGAATATCCTTCGCGTGACTTGCCACATCAAGGTCCCAGGTTGGACTGCCGGTTTCCATCATCCCATTGAAAGTACTGCAGATTACGAGGCTCTCCTCTTCCACTATTTATAGTTTATGAAATTCTTTTTCTCATATAATTCCGTTATTCAAAGTCAACATTCGTGCACTGCACATGGCAACAGTTTTCTATTTCGAACCTATTGATTCATTTCACCATCTTCTTGCTAATGTTAGTATCTCAAACCGTTTATGCCAGTTGCGCCAATTTAATATGAATGGCGTGATCATGGGATAGGTGTGGCACGATATCACGTAATATCCGATCGAGACTTGCCAAAAGACGGTTTTCAATAATTGTCATGTGAATTGACTGAACGAAATAGGAGCACGCTTAAAGATAGCACAATTGCTTGTGGACTTTGAAATTATCTGACCAACAGCCTTTCAACCATTCAAAGGGATGGCACAGTTTTTCAGCAAACATTTATGCACCTTTCTTAAAAAATTCAACGAACCCATTACGTTCACGATGCGCATATTTCAAATTACTTTCGTGCTGTTATTCATACAAACAGCATGGACCACTCTCCCAGGGTTCACAAAGGAGAAATCTAGAATAATGACTGCGAGATTTCACGCGCATCACGAATGACTAAAGCTGGGTTGCATCAAAATAGCTCATACAAAATGAAGATAGATTGGAGTTAAAAACTAAGTATGTTATATTAAACGTTTTTATTTTTGTCCTCATGAATTCACAGAACCTAGGGGCTGCGCGTTGTATTCCCGTGCCGGACACATCTGTCGGACATCCGTTGANTTGCCCCCCCCCCCCCGCCCCTACTTCCTATCACGCGCTAAGGTAGTTAGTTAATCTGTGAAGTTTTGTGTTATTGTACATACATTATATCGGGCAGTTGTTTCATCTTTGTTAAGATATATCAATCAAGATAACTAGACATGGGTTTTCAATCCACAGGTAGTGATATAGTTGACTTTGTGTGAAGAACCCGAAGAACAATGTTTTGGCTAAAGTGATCATATGCTCAAGGTTTGAACCGTCGATTGCTAATATCCGACATAAGAATCTAACTGCGGTTTGAGTACCGGCATAAATAATAACATGCGCTGCTAATGAGTCCCATTAACCGCGAAACAGTTTCTCAGGCCATAGAGATTCGTTGTAAGGAGGTATTATTATTTTTGCATTGAAAAAATCTGATGCGGATCATCTAGGAGCCGATGTATTAGCTACTATCTCCAGCGTTCCATCGTCACTCAGCTAGATCCTGAACTCATTGTAACGTTTTGGTACTTAGGTCCTTACAGAATTACTGGACACTCCTTCGTCTGATACTGAAATAAAAACATTTTTGTGTAATTCTATACATATAAACCGGGCCTACCGTGTATAAATTAATAGTAATTAGTCCGTTAAAAGGAAGTAGTTTCTTCTTTTGTGGTACATCCTACCCTTGATGGAGAAGCACGACCAGAAACGTAGGGGGTAACTGCCCAAGTATATTACATGAAGCTCATAATGCTTCAGTACTTTACTGAGTAACTGACATAGGTCAAGTAATAAACAATTCCTCCTAATGGATTCTAAAAACCTTGTTTACATCAACGTATTCAGTGATTATATAATCTTCCAAAAATAATGACAAACAACTATCTATGTCGGGTTGCATAAATCTTTAACAGTTCTCAAAATTTTGACGCAACTGCTGTTAGAATGATTATGACAATTATTGATCTTCAGCATAATCTAAATAGTTTGATGTTTCTGATAACTTCATACAAAGCTGATGCAAATTCTTAAAGTTTCTGTACATGATAACAATACTTACACAACATGAGTGAATTGGTCTAGTTCCGGTTGTTGGTGCTAACAAGCCACTCCCGCGAGGCAAGCACAGTCCAAATGCTTGTATCCAACTTCCCCTGCTGATTTGCTTCTTCATTGTGTTCATCCACTGGCGGTGATTAATCATTTGTTGAAAATCACAGACGAGCACAGTCTGGTGTGCGTGTCTGTGTGCTCGAATGTGTATGTGTGTATGCGCGCGCGTGTGTGGATGCGTGCGTGAGAGAGAGTGAGTGAACGTAATGACAAAGATCTCCGTGCGAGTACAAACTGAAGATCGGGGAGAAAATTACGTGAACTCAGTCGCTACAACGACTGAAGAGATTACAAGAAATGTTAACATCTCGAAGTATTTGTCTTCTCTCTGTTCTAATGATCCTCTTGTGCTGATTCCGTCTTGAAATATTGTTGAGAGCACATATCCTTCTACTTCATGAATTACGCTCATCACAAAATGACAGAAGGATTGCCTCTTTTCTACTACACACTAATATGTTGACCCTAATTCATTGTCAGGGATCACGTGATGCTTGAAAACCATTCTCATTTTGCTTTTTAGATTGACATACTTGCAGTTCATCAAAATAAAACAAATTACGCCACTGATTTTATTCCACTACAAATACAATTTTCGAAAGATACCCTGATCTTAATTATGTGGTTAATAAGGTCAAACTAAATTTCAGAGATTCAATAGAGTTTTTAAAACGAAAAAGAAAATAAGTTAGATTAGTTTAGAGTATCCAGCTTGGATTAGCCCATTCGATTGTTCAGAGGCACCAGAAGTGAAACCTACCCCGAAGACCAGCAAGAGTGCCTCTGAACAATCGAATGGGCTAATCCAAGCTTGATACTCTAAATTGATTGAGCCATTCGCACAAGGTGGTAACCGTCGACCGTGTAGCTCAGAGGTAAGGATTTGAAGTCCCGACCCGACTGATCGAGGTTCGAGTCTCGATAGGGATGCATAAGTACGCACTGCTGACGAGTCCTAAACAGGACGAAACAGCTGTCCAATGCTTTTTGTTGGTTATCATAAACATTTCCATCGCATTTGAAGTTAGATTAGTGTTCGCAATATTCCGCTTTTCATTCGGGGACAAAAATAAGCCTCAAATCAACTTCGTAATATCTCCAAAATGCGGAAATGGTATTTTCTGCATCCTGTGCGCAGTAAACCACAAAATCAGTTACATTGATCAATCCTTAGCAAACCAATGTCATCC